CTGCTTTTTAAAAAAAAAATCGTGATCATCGTGATGGATTTAAAAAATAAACTTTGGGGGTAACAAATTCTATTAGCTTTATTTACCTGGCCTCACTTGATTAAAACATTAAAATATTTTAGATATGTTATTTAGATACATATATTACTACCTTATATATTGCTCTCTTAGATATACATTACTACCTTATAAAGATTGTTAATTGATAGAGAACAAACACAATTATTTTTCCATGACACTGGGTAGCTACTAGTGACTGCATGACTTACATATTGACTGATTATAAGTTATAAACTAGAAGATGAATTTTAGTTCATATGTTAGATTTTAAAGGCATTTTTAAAACATCCCTTCCCAAGGTCAAGACTTTAATGATTTAAAGAGATGCGAAAACCAATGGTATCATATTTCATTATTTTCATTTATTTCTACTCCTATACCTTTCATTATTCTCCATTTTACTTGTTGGAAAATGCAATTTCTTTTCCTATTGATTTGGTCCTTGTACATTTAGCAAATATTGATTTTCTCCTGGACTCTTCTACTTCATTTTGAAGAAAGCAAAAGTTGGGGTGCTTTATTTCATTTTATTCAAACAAGCAGTAACGTACTAGTAATTCTACAGAAAATCACCTGAGCTCTGTAGTGTGTGATGGCAACTTTACTGCTTCTGCCTTTGTTAAAAACAGACTCTCATCCTCCTTTAATTCTTCAAAATTATTTGCATGCTCTTAGTCAACCGAGGTGATTTGGTAGCCTATTATAGACTTTACCATGTGAGACAAATAAGATAGACTTTCTTGCGTTAGTGCTAATTAAAAAAAACACATTAATTTAACTTGAATTTATTGAACAGTAAGACTTTAAGTCTAAAATTTGCACAGCTAAGATGAACTGGGAGTGATGTTACCCAGGCAGCCAAAGCAGGTATTCCTGGCTACGCTCCTGATCTCAAGAACCAGTAATAACTATTCAAACACAAGAAATGGCAAGAGAGTTTGGACAGCGAAGGGGTTGAAGTGCTCACTGCCTCAAAGAGAGGAGGGCAGAGTGCGCTAGATTGGGAAGAGAACCTTCATTACCCTGGCTGGCCCTGGGTCCCTAGAAGAATTGAAACAATGGGTGTTGGAGTGATAGTACAGCAGGTAGGGTGTTTGCCTTGCACATGGCCAACCTGAGTTCAACGGGAGCCCCCAGGGCTTCCTGAGCACAAGACCAGGAGCAAACCCTGAGCACAGCTGGAGGTGGCCCCCCCAAGACAAACAAAAGAATAGGAGAAATAGAAGACAATTTCAGTTGCAGATGGCATGAATTCATAAACAAAAGAAAAGAATCACGAAGACTCAACCAAAACCTAGCGATGGCACCGGAGCCAACAAGAATGGTTATTCTAAAAGACATGAGACCAACACAGACGTGAAGGCAAAGGAGGAAAGAACTGAATTCTTGGTGGGATCATAAATGGTGCAACCTCTATCCAGCCTGGAGGATCTTCCAAAGCGTTCAAACTGCATCGACCTGGTGATCCAGTGACTCCAGTTTTCAGGATCTATCCAGAAATGAAAGCTATAACTTGAACAATACATCTGCTCACCAGTGTTCAAAGCAGCGTTATTTACAAGTCAAATAATGGAACAACTTAAGCACCCCACTGTAAATGAGTGAGTAAAAATGTAATTGTGTGTATGAAAAATGGGAAGTCCTAAAGTCTTGGTGAGGCAGCACAGTAAGGAGCTGCTCTCCCCGACCCCCACACACGACCTACCCTGGTTGATCCCCATCACCCCGTATGTTTCCAAGCCTCGCAGGGTTTGAGCCCCATCACCGCAAGCCACGCCGGGAGTGATCCTTGAGTGCAGACCCCAGAGTGAATCCTGAGCACTGCTAGATGTCAATGCCCCCAAACAAAACATGGAGGTTACTCAGCCCTTAAAAATAAAATTCCATAATTTTCAACAGCATGCATTATTTTTAAGGAATTGTGCCATACGAGTTAAGTGAGATAAGCACTGTCCTATCATACAATACTGTAAAACAAAAACAAAAGAAGATTCATAGAAAAAAGATTTGTTTTGTGGCTAATTAAGAGGAAGATTCTGGGCTAGTAATTTAGGAAAAGAGAGTCAAAAGGCGAATTTTAGTAATAGGGTAGATTAGTACTAGGAATATTACCTAAACATGGTGACTAGGTAACACTGTTGTATAGATATTTTCATTTCATTTCATCATCCTGTTATTCGTCGATTGCCTCGAGCAGGCCCCAGTAACGTCTCTTTCATCCTAACCCTGAGATTATATTCAAGGCTCTTTAGGAGAATGAGACCCATCATTGTTACTGGTATTTGGCATATTTGGTACGCCACGGGGAGTTTGCCAGACTCTGCCCTGTGGGTAGGCTACATTCGATAGCCTGCAAGTTTGTCCAAAGTAGAAATAAGACAATAAGATGTCATAAAAAAAGGTTCTGTTAAGATGTCGTGTGGCCGCAAATGCGGCCGCGCGATTCCAGGATCTGGATTTTATAGTCTCTGAGTCTTGGCCGCTGATGGGATTACACGGCGCCAGGGGGCCAGGTGGTGGGTGTGACCCCCGCCTACTGGAATTTGGAGGATCTGGGTGGAAGATGCTCGACTCCAATTCGAGTAGGCTTGGAGGTCTCGGCCCCGGAACCCGCGTGGCTTTGTCCCTCTGCCAGTACCTTCATGTGTGCGGAGAGTGGTCTCAGCATGGTGGTGGCTGGTCCTGGAGGTCTTCGGCTGCCGTAGCCCTGGTCGGGGTGGGGAGGAAAGCTCAACCTTTATATATAGATATAAGAAAGATATAAGAAAGATATAAGAAAGATATAAGAAAGATATAAGAAAGATATAAGAAAGACAAGAAAATAAATCCTGAAAGTTCTCTAAAAAGGATAATTTTCCTGCCCTGCCTCCTTTTTCCTTTTTTAACAAAGTAAAAAAGATGAATAATAGTTGAATCTACGGTGCAATCATTTCACGGGGCACGCACATCAAATATGTATCCCGTATACATATGTATACACGCTGTATCCCTTCAACTGATAGAGTTAGATGTCAATTGTTTCTCAACAAAACTAAAAAAAAGGAGAGTAATATTTACTTCCAGACTGGGCACATGAAAATCAGTTTTAAATGTAGGAAATTAAACCTCTAGTTCTGAATTGTACCGACTCACGTTCTTAGTCTGACTTTGAGAGTACGTTTCCTAATTCCTTAATACTTCACTTTTCTTATTGATCAGCTCTTGGTATCTATTCCAAAGAAACCTGGCAAAATTATCCCTAGAGATCATTTTATACTACTTCCCCTGTGCTATAATGTTCAGTTTATGTTGTGTTCATCATGAATCATCTGCTTGCGAACATGTCTTTCATTCTTCTGAGAGATATAAAGTTTACTATTTGTGGAAGTTACTACATCTATTCATCAGTAATGATAGATAGCACAGATTCTGGGCCCGGAGTTATAGTACAGCAGTCAGGGCATGTGCCTTGTATGAGCCCACCTGTGTTAGACCCCCGGCATCCCCTACGGTGCCCTGAGCATCACCAGTAGTAGTTCCTGAGTGTAGAGCTAGGAGTAACTCTGAGCAATGACAGGTGTGACCTAAAAAATAGATATTTCAGATTCCTTTACTCTATATGATTTCAATCTGAAATACATTAATTACCACGTAACCTTTTATGTTGGAAAACACCAAGAATCTTAAACTGTGTAATTCTGCAGGCCCATACTATGTGACATATATTTGACTCCATATATATGAGTACTGGAGATTTATAAAAATCCTTATGCTCCTCCACCCAGATCCCCCATCTTCCAATACGTAGGTGTTATACCTACCAACTTCCCCGGCGCCATTACACGGCCAAGACCCAGAGACTATAAAACCCTGCTCCCTAAAGAGAACAGCAGAGTCTCCTGCCTCTGCACCTGGCTGTCCTCACTGGGGCCCCTTGGAGGAGGGTGGGTTGAGTTTCCCTCCCCAAACCGAGCAGAGCCCCGGCAGCTGAAGACCTCCAGTTCCAGTCACAGCCATGCTTAAGACCACTTTCCCCACATGTTCGGACGAGCCTCACACATGAAGGAACCAGCCGAGGAGCCCATGTGTGCGGGATCCAGGGCATAGATCTCCAAGCCTGCTCAGATTGGGATGGGGCCTCCTCCACCCAGATCCCCCATCTTCCAGTATGCAAGCGTTACACCCACCAACTGCCCATGGCACCGTGTAATCCCATCAACGGCCAAGACCCAGAGACTATAAAACCCAGCTCCCGGAAGCGACATCTTATTATCTCATTCTTACTTTGGACAAACTGGCAGGCTACGGAATGTAACCTGCCCACACGGCAGAGTCTGGCAAACTCCCCGTGGCGTATTCAATATGCCAAAACCCAGTAACCATGATGGGTCTTATTCTCCTGACCCTGAAAGAGCCTCGAACGTGGCACTTTTTAAAAATCTCAGGGCTAGGACGAAGGAGACATTAGTGGGGCCTGCTCGAGGCAATCGATGAACAACAGGAAGAAATGACAGTGATACTTGATGCTTAAATGTAAGTATGTAGGAAGTTTCTAGGAGTTCAGTAATGGCAGACCCTGGGAGGATAATGTTATTACCTTAGCGTTATTATTAAAGCCCTTCTTAGAGGCTGATGGATAGCCAAGTACACGTATGTGCAACTCACATGAGTACATGCTTTTCACGTGGGGGGCCTGGGTGTGAACTCTAGAACCTCATGATCCCAGGAGCAACATTTGAGCACTGCTGGTGTGTCCTCAAAATAAATAAAACCTGTCTAAGAAATTCTCATAGTTAAAGAGAATATAGTAATTTTATCTTAAAAGGCAAGTGCAAATTCTGTGTCACAGCATTTTTCTAGGGGAGATGTAGAAGTTCTGTCTATCATGAACTCTGCCATTCTGATAGTTGTAGTTTCAGAAGTCAAGTCGCTGATGCTGTGTGTTATTTGTGCTTCTCCAGCTAGTGGTTGGAAAGTTACCATCATCACCAGTGACTTGCCAAATGCAGGTACCAGCTCTCAGATTTATATTGTGCTGTACGGACAACACAGAAGTTCAGCTCCCATATATCTCTACGGAACAGATGGGGCGCAGTTCCAGAATGGCCGTGAAGACAGTTTTGCTGTGAGTAATAAAACCGAGTAACCTATGAATTTAAGTGAATTGTTGTAACGACAACGGGTTGTTCTTTAAGAAGGAATATAGGAATGTCACACACTGAACGAGGTATTTGTTATTATAATACCGTGTGTGTGTGTGTGTGTGTGTGTGTGTGTGTGTGTGTGTGATGCACTCAGCAGTACTCAGGGATCATTCTTGGTGATGCTCAGAAATCAAACCCAGGTTGGCTGCCTGCATGTGTGTGTGTGTGTGTGTGTGTGTGTGTGTGTGTGTGTGTGTGTGTGTTTCATAGTTTGGTTTTGGGGCCACATCTGGCGGTGCTCAAGGATTACTCCTGGCTCTGCGCTCGGGGATGACCCCTGACAGTATTTGGGGCACCATATGCAATTCTAGGGATCAAATCAGGGTTTGGTGTGTTTACCGTAAGTGTCTTAACGCCTAATGATCTCTGGTCCTGTGTGATGGAAATGTACCCTGGTATACATTCATTAGCAAAAGGACATTTCCCTTTCACTTCTCCTTTCTGTTTAGTCTTTGGATATATTGGGTCTGAATCTTTAAAGCATTTGTTCTCACAGTAATTTCAAATACAGTTGTTAGATGCCCAATTGAAATTATTTTCAACTTTAAGTACATAGAAATTTTATGGAACTGCAGCTAAAATTCTCCTCTGTGCTCTGCTTTCATTGTATCCTCTCTGCTTTTGTATATAGTTTCCCCCCATTGATTTAGAATTATGGTTTAATATTCCTAGCAATTTCTTTTATGACAAATAGGCTGCTCAAATAGATTGTTTAATTTACATGCATTTATGGATTTTTGCAGTTTCTTTTATCCAGTATTGATGTCTAGTTTTACTCTTGTTAGAAAATACTTGTTATATAATTTCATTAATTTCCAAAACTCGTTTTGTGACATAACATATGGTATATCTTGTAGAATATTCCTTGTGCACGTGAGAAAAGTGTGCATTATGTGGTTATTGAGTGGAATGTTCTAAAAATAGCTGCTGGATCTAGTTGGTATATAATATTGTTAAGTCCTCTATTTCCTTATTGATCTTCTGTCTAGTTGTTCTATGCATTATTCAAACTGAGGCATTAAGGTTTCCAACTATTATTTCCGACTGCCTATTTCTCTCTACTTGTTTCTGTAAATTTTTGCATTGTGCATTTTTGTTATCTATTATTAGATATATACAGTTGTATAGTTCTTTTTAATATATATTATTTATTCATGCTATCTCATTAATAACAAAAATCCATTAATGTTTAACTTGGGGTGGCTTCCTTAGTAAATGGGTTCATGGGATATGTGATGAATCTACTCACATCTCATTTAGCATCTTGGACTTGACACTGCTTGATCTTCAGAAATAAATGTTTATGATCCTTAAATATTCTTGGTGAATTGACTGTCTTATTAATATATAATGCCATAGTATGGGCTCTCTTAAGTGTATTTTGTAAAATCACATTGAAACACACCCTCTTGGTTGCTTTCCAGATCACAGTGGGAGACCTTGGCACTCTCTCTAAGATCCGTATTGGTCACACCAATTCTGGAGCCTCCCCTTCGTGGCACTGTAAGGAGGTAAAACACGTCCCTTGCAGAACCATCTGCTAATTCTATTCAGAAATCAAACCTAAGGAATCATTTCATGTTTATTGTAAGTTAATGGAACCACGCCTGGACCGGTTTTTAGTGTATTTCTGAAAGAAACAATATTGTATGATCTTACTAGTAGTTCAATTCTAATGAATTAAATGAAGAGTAGATTAAGCCCACACGAAATTAATTCCTAATTAATTGAGGGAAGCAATTTAATAAAATAATCTCGTCACCTCTTTGCAAAGAAGAAACCTTTGGGACTCTGGATAAACTGATATTCCTTCTTGATATGATACTACTAGTGATTGTTAAGGTGAATTGATGAGTATAAATCTGCTTCAGAAGATGAACCAGTGAAATATTAATATACTTGGCTAGACTGCTGATCTCAAATTTAGGCTGCTCATGATAGCATGGTAAAAACTCTTAGGGACTTTCAGGAACAATTTTTTTTTTGGTTTGGACCACACCTGTTGACGCTCATGCATTGCTCCTGTGCTCAGGGATTACACCTTGTGATGCTCAGGGGACCCTAGGCTGGCAGTGATTTAACTAGGGTTGGTCCAAGGCAACAGAAGTGCATTGACGCCTGTACTATCACTCTTTCCCGATGACGATCATGATCATCCTGTTGTTTGTCGATTGCCTCGAGCAGGCCCTAGTAACGTCTCCTTCGTCCTAGCCCAGAGATTTAAAACAGTGCCATATTCAAGGCCCTTTCAGGGTTAGGAGAATGAGACCCATCATTGTTACTGGTATTTGTCATATTGGGTACGCCATGGGGAATTTGCCAGACTCTGCCGTGTGGGCAGGTTACATTCAGTAGCCTGCCAGGTTGTCCAAAGCAATAATGAGATAATAAGATGTCCAGTAGCTGGGTTTTATAGTCTCTGGGTCTTGGCCGTTGATGGGATTACACGGTGCCAGGGGGCCAGTTGGTGGGTGTGACCCCGCCTACTGGAAGGTGGAGGCTCTGGGTGGAGGATGCTCAGCCCCGATCCGAGCAGGCTTGGAGATCTCAGCCCTGGGACCTGCATGCCTTTGTTCCTCTGCTGGTACTTTCATGCGTGTGGAGAGTGGTCTCAGCATGGTGGTGGCTGGTTCTGGAGGTCTTCGGCTGCTGGAGCCCTGGTCGGGGCGGGGAGGGAAACTCAACCTGATCCCTCCAAGGTGCCTCGGCGAGGACAGGCAGGCACGGGGGCAGGAGACTCTGCACTGTTTTCTTCCGGGAGCTGGATTTTATAGTCTCTGGGTCTTGGCCGTTGATGGGATTACACAGCACCAGGGGGCTAGTTGGTGGGTGTGACCCTTGGAGGGGTCAAGTTGAGTCTCCCTCCCCGCCCCAAGCAGAGCTCTGGCAGCTGAACACCTCCAGAACCAGCCACAACCATGCTGATACCACTCTCCACACATATGAAGGTACCAGCAAGGAACAAAGACATGTGGGTCTCGGGGCTGAGATCTCCAAGCCTGCTTGGATCGGGGTTGAGCATCCTCCACCCAGATCGTCCATCTTCCAGTAGGCAGTGGTCACTCTTTCCCAGGAACAAAAAACTTTACATTGATTAGAGTTAAAAGTTTTACACTGATTAGAAATTTTTATTTTGATTTAAAGATTCAATAGATGAAAATTTTTACTTCCTACCAAGGCTTTCCATAAATTGCAGATCTTTATTGTTGGAAGTCACATGGGTTATCATCTGTTTTTGTGTATGGTATCTTCTGATATTTTGATATAAAATGCCAATGGGTCTTTCAGCTGCTTTTCAAAATTTGAATACTATCTATTTAAATGCCTCATTTTCTTCTCAAACCTGTCTTCAGTTTTACAATATGTGAGAAACGAAATCAATGAAAAATTTATGGAAGATAATTAATTCCTTAAAAACATATATATTTTTTAGGGACAAAGAAATAGTATAGGAGAAAGGCACTTGTTTGTACACTGCTGACCCAGGTTTGATCTCTGGTAGGGCATATGTTCAGAAAGGATCCCTTAGCACAGAGCCAGGAGCAAGCCCTGGGCACAGCCAGGTGTGGTACAAGAACCAAAGGGAAAACAAACAAAAAGCATTTTTTAATTCCATCAGCAGAAAGGTATATTTGTCAGTAATGCTATATATTTTCCATGAAAGTGGCAAAGGATACTGTTGCGAAATGGAAAACAAAGCCCAATTTATAAAAATGCAGAACGCAGAACTGAGGATTCAAAATTCAGAGTCACCACCTGGATTTTAAAAGAAAGACTCTAATCTTCCCTTTCTTACAGAGCTTTTGAAGTCTGGTATCAGATTGATCCTGAAGTGATCATATATAATAACAACTTTGATTTTTCTCTTAGGAAGATAAATGAATTTGCAAAAACCGCTAATCCTTCTGCAATCACACCTGATGGAGAGACAATCACCAGCATTAAATTTATGACGAGATTGGGATGTTGTGCTAATGGTTGAGCAATGGGATAGATTATATAATAGTGTCAAGCTAGGAAATGAGGCTGAAGGTTTCTATTGCCTTTTTTGTCTGTGGCACGCATTCTGCGTGTGATATAAATTGTTTGTGAAGGGCTGCCCTCACCTGTTTATGCCTCGATTGGGGACAAGATGCTGCTGAGTTCCAGTGTGGCACAGTACCCTGAAGTATTTGGGAACTACACCACAGAGCTCAGAGAGTTACGCAGTGCCGGGGAACTGAACCCCAGGCCTGATGTGTGCAAGCCAACACTCCAGTCCTTTCAACTCTCTCCTTCACCACAGAAACATCATCTCAATTCAAAGCATTTTTCCCTGAGCATCTTAAACACTTACATAATTTACCCATTTGGCCAAATTGAGATGCTAGATAATGGGTTGGAAATTTTCAGTTCAACTCCCGTTATATAGTTTTGAAGTTGGAAATTTAAAATGATAACTAAGTCAATTTGTGACTCTAACATCAAGGGCATTGAATAAAAATACTTGAGTCCATTTTAGCAACATAATGCAACTTTCATTCAGCTCGAAAATGCTCATATTGTTTGTAGGACCTTAATCTTCAGCCTTTTCAGTTAATTTGGAGAAGATTACCAAAGCAAAAGTTTCTATGTTGATTTATTTTGTGTTTCTTAAATTATCTGCCTTGGGCTTTAATTAAAATAATCAAATCAAATAACGATGGCAGTAAAAGCAATCTTGTAAAAACATTTCTGTGTGTTTATCAGAGAATCCTTCTAAAAGCGTTATTTCTTCAGAATTACTTTTGATATATATTTGTGAATGCAAATTTGTGTACCATACAAAACTTGCAAAAATCAGTAAGTTTAGGATCTGAAAATATGTCTTAATAACACCATTATCTTCTTCAACTGATTGTAAAGTTTAAAGATTAAGTTGTAAAGTTTAAATTGTGGCACTTTAAAGAGAATAATTTTATTTTTACTAGTAAAATAATACCTCAATGAGTACTGTTACTTTTAAAAGAGTTAATAGTAGCTTATTCATGAAAGACTAAAGTTTAGAATCAGAAATCATAACTTGAGCCTTTTAAAAAATTTTGGGGGGGAGGTTTCACCTGGCAGTGTTGCTTAAGGCTTACTCCTGGCTCTGTGCTCAGGGATCACTCCTTGTGGGGTTTGGGGAAACTGTATGTGGTACCAAGGATCAAACTGGGGTCAGCCAGGTGCAAAGCTGCTATGCTATCTCTCTGGTCGACAATGTCTACTTCTTAATGCTTTTTCAAATTCATTTGCTCCCATCAGAATTTATTAACATCTTTGTTTTACTTTAGGACACTGTCACTGTCACTGTCCTCCTGATGTTCATCGATTTTCTCGAGCAGGTCCAGTAACGTCTCCATCGTGAGACATTGTTGTTACTGTGTTTGGCATATCGAATACGCCACAGGGCGCTTGCCAGGCTTTGCCGTGAGGGCAAGATACTCTCGGTAGCTTGCTGGGCTCTCCGAGAGGGGCGGAGGATTGAACCAGGGTCACATGCAAGGCAAATGCCCTACCCACTGTGCTATCGCTCCAGCCCCAGTTTAGAACAAATGGATTAGATATAATATCTTATAGCAGGTGCCCAAATCCATAATTAATTGCCCAGATTTCATTCAGTGCTAAAGATCCAAGAAGAAAATATGTCAGTTTGAATCTTAGTGAATGAAATATAAGTTCATCCTAATATTTTATAAAAATCTCATTGAGAAAAAAATCACTAAGGGTTTGGAATCAGAAAATAATTGATTAAAAATATAAACATCTCTAAATATAAAAATAGTACCAGCACTGAAAGTTTGGGAAGAAATTGGTGTATTTAGCAGTTAAAAACAGAAAGAAGAGAAATAATTTAAATTGATGACATGGAAAAAAAACAAAAGTTATCACTTTTAAATAATATTCAATGTCTGGCTTTAAAAGGTCATTTTTTCCTGAGCTCCATAGGTTTGCTGTAAAACTTACTTTATTCCTTGACAAGGTATTCTTATAATTGGTTCACACAATTATTTCTGTCATGTAGATACAAATGTGCAACAAGAGTTCTGGAAAGCAGTTTTATATTCCCGTGCAGCGATGGTTTGCACGAGATCAAGAAGATGGAGAAATCTGCCGAGAATTTCCTATTTTAAATGAAGGAAAACCTACTCTTCCAGGTACAAATCCAACTCCGGACATTACAGACGGATGTTATTTGCTTAAGTGTCAACCTACAGGGAACTTGACAAATACGAATGTATTGATGAAATTAATAAATGACTGATCACTTCTCATTGGGGTCACCTCTGGCAGTTCTCAGGCCTTACTCCTGGTTCTGCACTCCAGAATCACTCCTGGAGGTGCTCTGGGCCCAGCTTGGAGTGCCAGGGACAGAATCCAGGTTGGCCACGTGCAAAGCAAGCGCCCTACCCACTGGACTATTTCTCTGGCCCAGGGAGGCTCTTTTCTTACCAATTATCTCTGCAGGAATGACAGCTGAAATTTTTTTTGTGTGTGTGTGTTTCTGTTGTTTCATGTACTGACATAAGGAATATGTCGGTGTCAGTAGTTAGATTTTAGGAAGTTTGACTAAAATGCCTCAATGTGGATTTCCCTTTATCATCTTTTCCTATGTTAGTTAACATTTTCCCTAGTCTTCCAATTATGAATAATTTTGGATGATATTCTGGCTACTTTTACTTTTGAAGTCTTCACAGTGTTTCCCTTTGATGTTCATGGTACTTGTGTCCATTCACCCAACTTGGCTTCTTTTTAAGCTCCTGTGTCTGAGCTCCTGTGAGCTGCTAGGGTCAGAAACATTGAGTCCAAATTGGAAAATATCCGAGAATAAAAAACAGTATTCCGACTGCTGTGTTTTATTTGTATTTTTGGGGCAATACCCACCAGTGCTCAGGACTTACTCTGGGCTCTGTGCTCAGGGATCACTTCGGTCACATGCAAGGTGCCTTATGTCCTGCCCAACCTAGCTCTTACTGTCCTTTGCTTGTATTTTAGACTTTCATTTTCTTTCTGAGCCCTATGTTTTGCTTTACTTGTTAGCATCTTCATGTAGTTGTTCCATCTATTCTGTCAAGATTTTAAAACTGTGTTCAGTGGAGAGATTGGGCGACTGAGGGTATTGCATATTTTTAAAAAAAATTTTTATTAGTGAAACACCATGAGGTACAGTTGTAGACTTACAAATTTTTCTGCTTGGGTTTCAATTATACAATGATCAAACACCCATCCATCCACCAGTGCCCATTTTTCATCACCACTGATCCCAGTATCCTTCCCACCTCCCTTCCCCCCATCCCACCCTGTCTCTGTGACAGGGCATTCCCTTTTGTTCTCTCTCTCCTTTTGGGTGCTGTGGTTTGCAAGAGAGGCATTGAGTGGCAATCATGTTTGGCCTATAGTCTACTTTCTGCATGCTTCTCCCATCCTGGGTGGATCCTCCCAACACCCTTTATTTGGTGCTCCCTTCTCTATCTGAGCTCCCTTTTCCCCTAGCATGTGTGGCTGGCCTCCAAGCCATGGAGTAAACCTCCTGGTACTATTCTTGGGTGTTAGTCTTCTATTTTGTTTATGTTCCCCAGATGAATGCCATCTTTCTATGTCTGTCCCTCTCTTTCTGACTCATTTTGCTTAGCATGATACTTTCCATGTAGTACCGCTGTATTGAGTATCTTAACAGGAACTGCAACTCTTGATTCACTTAATCACTTAATCACTTAACTTCCCGTTAGTCATCGATTTGCTCGAGCGGGCGCCAGTAACGTCTCCATTTGTCCCTGTCACGTGCTAGTGTAGCCCAATGGCATCTGTTTGCTCCGGGAACATGAAGGGCCTCAAACCGATTGTTCATGATCTTGACGAAGAAATCTGACCATCTGGAAGGTGGGCGGCCACGCGGTCTTTTGACATCCTGTGGAATCCAGTCGGTAACAGCTCTAGTCCAGCGGTTGTCTTTAAATCTCATTATGTGACCAGCCCATCTGATTTTTGATACCTTGGCAAATGAGACAGCGTCCCTGATTCTTGATCGTCGACGGATGTCAGAACTCCGGATTCGTTCTCTCATTTGAGTGAAACGTGATATTCCAAGCATAGCTCTTTCTATTCTTCTTTGGGAGACCTGAATGGCGTTCTCATCTTGTTTGCGTAGGGCCCAGGTCTCTGAGGCATATGTTAATACAGGAAGAACAGTGGAATCAAAGAGATGTGCCCGGAGCCGGAGGTTCTTTGTCCTCTTAGCTATTTCTTCGACGTTCTTGAAGGCGTTCCAAGCTGCTCTCTTCCTCCTGCACAGCTCGGGTGCCAGGTCATTTGTCATGTTGACCTCTCGACCTAGGTACACATAGCTGTTGCATTCGGAGATGGTTGTTCCGTTGAGAGTGAATGGGGCGTCAGGAACAAGGCTGTTTCTCATAAACATTGTCTTTGTAAGATTCAGCTGTCTTCTTACGAAGACAACTCTTGATTAGATATGTATATTTCCTCTATCATATTTATAAGGCAGGCACTATTAAACTTGTTTTCCTTTTGTTATCAGTGATAACATATGAAGTGCATGTGACAACTGGTGACCTTTGGAATGCTGGAATATCAGCAAATGTCTATATCTCTATCTATGGAGAAAAGGGAGATACGGGATGCAGACAACTGCTGAAATCAAAGAACTCCTTGAAATTTCTAAGAGGACAAGTAAGTGAAAGTCCTTTGTTTCTTTTAAAGGGTGGCAAAAAAGAATACGTGACAATTGCCATCTGAGTTTCTTAAGAGCATAGTTTAGTAGTATTGAATATATTCACTTTGTTGTACAGGGGCACTCCAGAAGATAATCATCTTTATAAAACTGAAACTTTGGGAGACCTTGGCCCCAGAATAACAATAATAATTTTCTTCTTCTTCTTCTTCTTCTTCTTCTTCTTCTTCTTCTTCTTCTTCTTCTTCTTCTTCTTCTTCTTCTTCTTCTTCTTCTTCTTCTTCTTCTTCTTCTCCTTCTCCTCCTCCTCCTCCTCCTTCTCCTCCTCCTTCTCCTCCTTCTTCTCCTCCTCCTCCTCCTTCTTCTTATCCTCCTCCCTCCCCTCTCCCTCCCCCTCTCCCTCCTCCCCTTTCCTCCTCCCCCTCCCCCCTTCTCCTCCTCCTCATCTTCTTCTTCTTATTATTTCTTTTTTTTTTTGCTTTTTGGGTCACACCCAGTGATGCTCAGGGGTTACTCCTGGCTCTGCACTCAGGAATTACTCCTGGCGGTGCTCAGGGGAACATATGGGATGCCAAGGATTGAATCTGGGTCAGCCTCACGCAAGGCAAACACCCTACCCACTGTACTGTTGCTCCAGTCCGTGGAATACCTTCTTTAAACAAAAATCGAGAATACTGTTCCCCTCCCTTGATTATACTCTCAGGTGCTACTGTTTTCCTGGGTTATTCCAGTGTCTGGGCCTTGGGGAGCAGTTGGTATCACTTCCTTCAGGAAACACTACTCTAGATCTGAACAACTCCCCTTTCTTCCCTATTCCCAGTCCCTTAGAACCACATACTGTATTTTGTTTCTGTGCATTTGATTGCTTTTGGTATCATCTATTTAGAATCTTTTTGTGACTATCTTATTCACTAAGCACAATGCCCTCAGGATTTATCCATGTGGCTCTGGAGAGAAGTACAGTGGGTAGGGCATTTGTCTTGAATACAGTGGGTAGGGCATTTGTCTTGAATACAGGCAATTTAGGCTTGATCCCTAGAAATTCATATAGTTACTCATGTCTTGCCAGGAGTGATTCCTGAGCACAGAACCAGGAGTAAGCCCCTGAGTACTGCCAGGTGTAGCTCAGACCTCTCTCCTTCCCCCAAAAGATTCACCCATGTACAAAAGTGATAGCACTTTCTTCTTTTTTAAGACTGAGTAGTATTTCATTGTGTATGCATATATATATGTAGAGAGAGAGAGAGAGAGATCTATTTCTCTCTATCCTTTTATTTTCCTATTTATCTGCTGATGGACACTTTGTTTTTAAATTACTGGGTATTATGAATAATGTGGCTGTGAATATGGGTGTGCAAATATTTCTTTTATTCCTTCAATTAAGTTGTCTTACTATTTAGTCACAAATTAGGTTGCTGTTTTTATGACATACTTTTTTTTAATAATGATTGCATCATTTTACAATGTCATCAGCAATGTACAAGTCTTCCATTTTCTTCATGTCCTTGTCAACCTTTGTTATTTTTTTGTTTTATGACAGCAATCATTCCTAAGAAGAGTGAGGTGGTATCTCATTGTGGTTTTGCTTTACCTGTGTTTTGTTTGTTTCAGGGTCACACCTGGCAGTGGTCAGGGCTTAACTTGGCTCTGCACTCAGGGAATCATGCCTGGTGGGCTTCAAGGGCCGTAGGTAGTTGTTGGAGATTGAATCCAGTTGATGGTGTGCAAGGCAACTGTTCTACTGGACCTACTCTCTCTCTCTCTCTCTGGTCCCAGAAGTTCTAATATTTGACGTAGCCCTCTTGGTTTATCTTTCTGCTCTTGGTTTAATATCCAAGACATTCTTTGCCAAACGCAGTGTCCTAAAGCTTTTCTCCTGTGATTTCTGTTAGGACATTTTAATTTTGAATATTTAATGTATGTTGACATAATTTTTGTACAAATGATGAGTCCATTTTTATTTTAATTTTATGTGGCATGTAATGTTTGAAGACTGTCCTTTCCTGACTATTACCAGATTAGCAACCTTGTCAATATTTTCGCCAATTATGAGGATTTGCTTCTTAGTTCCCAATTTTAGAATATGTGGTTTAGTTTTTTTCCTTTCCCTGGTTCTTGATTTATACATTTAGTTTATTCATTTGACTTTTTAAATTCATTTGTTTTTTAGTGAAAGCATTTGTAGATGTACATGTCCTTTTTAGCAAAGATGTGTTATGTCCTTTTTTTGTTATGTCCTGTTAATTTTTGGGTTGAATATTTTTTGAATGTTACCCTTTCAGGAAAATTTAGTAGGAACGAACCCCCTTATCTTTTATTTATTCCTATTAAAGTGTTGCTTTACTTTTGAAGGGCAGTTACAGCTAAGACATAATTTTTGTTTATTGGATTTTCTTTTTTTCAGTTTGAACATATTAATTGCTTGCATAATGTCTACTCAGAAATCTCATAAATTAATAGACGCTCACAAGAACATTGCAAGTTACTTTTCTCAACTTACATTGTCCAGTGCTGAAACTGAATATATTCTTTCACTCTGACTAATATTAATATATAAATAAAAATTTTTAACTGAATGAAACAAAATCTATATTTTAGTAATGACAGCTTTTTATGAACCAAATATCTTTAAATGAACAAGTCAGGATATTTTTACCACACACACACACACACACACACACACACACACACACACACTTCTTTTTCTTAGTCTTCTTTATATAAATCACAAATATGATAGCCCATTTTCCCTGCCAGTCTTTTCTGTTATTGCACAGGGACCCCCTCCAATGACAATGGGATGACAGTGCTACTTGTTATCTTGTCCCAAGCAGCATCTTTTGTTAGTGCTAATGTTTGTTATAGTTAATAAGGTCTACTTATACAGAGAGGCAATGGTTATAAACAAACATAATTTTTGCCATAAATCTTGCTTCAATGACTTAACCTCATTCGTGCCATGGATATATTTTTCTTGCAGAGTGACTTTTTTTTTTCTTTTTGGGTCACACCTGGCGATGCACAGGGGTTACTCCTGGCTTTGCACTCTACTCCTGGCGGTGCTCAGGGGAACATATGGGATGCTGGGAATTGAACCTGGGTCAGACACGTGCAAGGCAAACGCCCTCCCCACTGTACTATCGCTCCAGACCCCAGCAGAGTGACTTTTAAGGATAAAATAAAATATACTGGAAAATACTCAAAACATATAAGATGTTATGCAAATATAAAGTGGTTTTTTAAATTTTTAAAAAAATTTTTATTAGTGAAACACCATGAGGTACAGTTGTAGACTTACAAATTTTTGTGCTTGGGTTTCAGTTATACAATGATCAAATACCCATCCCTCCACCAGTGCCCGTTTTCCACCACCATGGATAATATCCCTCCCACCCCCATCCCTCCCATCTCACCCTGCCTCTGTGGCAGGGCAATCCCCTGTGTTCTCTCTCTCGTTTTGGGTGTTGTGATCAGCAAAAGAGGCATTGAGTGGCAAACATGTTCAGTCCATAGTCTACTTTCGACATGCATCTCCCCTCCTGGGAGGATCCTCCAAACACCCTTTATTTGGTGCTCCCTTCTCTATCTGAGCTGCCCTTTCCCCTAGAATGCCCGGCTGGCCTCTAAGCCATGGAGTAATCCTCCCGGTGCTGGTCTCAGCTATTCTTGGGTATTAATCTCATATTTAGATTAATTTTAACTTATATTCCACAACATATTATTACAGCATTTGAACGTGTAGCATTAGTTTATGTTTTCTTAAGGGAATGCCTTCTTTTCAATTTTACCCATATTTTAAATATACAATGCTTTGGAGCAGGAAACAAACTAAAAGAAAAAAGAAAATTTTTTGTTGCAGTTGTGCATTAGGACTTTAAAGAAATGTTTTAGTTTCTAAAATTTTTGCATTAGTATCTTTTTTAAAAAAATTTTTGTTTTGCTCTTTTGGGGTCATACCAGGCAATGCTCAGGAGGTACTCCTGGCTCTGCGCTCAGGGTGGTGCTCAGGGGCCCATCTAGGATGCTGGCGATCCAACCTGGGTCAGCCGCGTGCAAGGCAAACGCCCTGCCCGCTGTCCTATCTCTCCAGTCCCTTGCTTTAGTATCTTAAAATTATTTTAAAACTTGTTTGTGAATGATTGATAAATATTGCTAAAACAGAATCCATCATGGATACATAGGAGTTGGTTGCATTCAAATGAATTAAAACTTTGGTGTATTTTTTTTATAGGATTCTTTTAAAAATTGGATCACTGTGGGATACATGTCTACAAAGTCGTTTGCGATTGGGTTTCAGTCATACAATGTTCCAACGCCCATCCCATCACCAGTGCACATTCTCTGCCACAATGTCCCCAGTTTCCCTTCTGTCTGCTCCCAACCCCTGTCCCCACAACCTGCCTCTATGGCAGATTTTTCCTTTCTCTCCATCTCTCTTATTTTACTTTTTGGTGTACATTTTCCCCATTAATTTATACTGTTATTATTTGAAAAAATTGCCCATTGAGCATCCCAAATTTATGTTTTGATACTGAAAAATTAGCAACAAAAATGTAATATTTGTTAAGTATTATTGTTTTACTATACCTAATGTACATAGATTTTGTATTTGTTGATAATTTTTTCACATTAACTTTTACTGTCTTAAAAATAAGACTTTGAGTTCAGAATAAGTGTACTTTTTTTTTTTGCCTATAGACTGACACCTTCTCCCTGGAAACAGTGTACCTTGGGACTTTGTCTAAGATTGCCATAGGTCATGACGGACTTGGCCCAGGTAAGTGTCTGGGACTTCAAATCTTTTTTCAGTTTATTCAGGGGACATCCAGTGTAAAACAATTTATTAAACATCATAATACATTCACCTGTAAGCATTGGGTATTTAAAATCTAAATATCAGATACTCTTTATATAGTATCTTTTCATTCTTTAAAATGACGTAAACTCTTCTAGCTGTTTGTGGTGGCTGAATACTAGGAAGAGTGATGCATAAAAAAACTGTAGAAATTTGGGGCTTGTCTGCTGAGATACAATGTAGCGTTCCAACATTTGGTCTTCCTGTTGGTTGTGAATTAAATTTATAGAGTCAGCTCCAATTCATGCAAAATTCCAAGTCAACTCTATTGCTATTCTGGAGAGAGCCCAGTGACTCTGACGCATGTTTGTCAGAATATTAAGGGATTTCCCGGCTCTTACATCTGACACTAATCCCATCGTGAAGATGGACTTCCCCCCACAAATGGACATTGCTAATTTTCATTAAGCTGTCATTTTGTAAATCCTCATAAAGTTTCTCTGTAAAAATGATATTTTCCCTTGAAGGAGACAATGAGACAAATGATTCTTAGTCTGTTTCTGTTAGGATTTAAGAATTCAGTGAAGAAAAACAGCTGTAACGGTGACATTCTAGCCTGAGAGAACTGTGTGAGGAAAGACACAGGTTTTAACCTGGCAGTGATTATTCAAAGTATAACTCCTGAATTATCAATTTTATGTAGGATCTTATTAAACTTTTCATTCTTGTTGTGTAGAGATAGCACAGTGGGTAGGGCTAATTGCCTTGCACACAATTGGCCGTGTTTTATGTCCAGCACTCCATATGGTCCCCTGAACAGTGCCAGGCATGATTCCTGAGTGCAGAGCCAGGAGTTAACCTTATAGTTAAACACTATGGGGTGTGGCCAACCCCACCAATATTAAAATTAAAAAATAGTTTTTGAGGATGACCAACCATTCTGGTTTTCTGGCTACTGATTTTAAAATAAGTACTTTAAAATCATCCAAAATCCTGTATTCTGGGAAACCATTTGTCCAGGTTCAAGAGGAACATTTATCACGTTAAGTTGCCTGTCCAGTGCCACTTAGATGCATGTTTGGTGAAAATTTGAATTTTAATAGTTTCCTACAAGTATATTTTGGAAATAGAGTGTGGATCACCCATGCGATTCTTTGGAAGATGCGAGGTCAGGGTTATCAGTACAGTTCATGAAATCAAAAGCAATTGTACTTTTGTTCTATTTTCAGCGATTTGAAAAATAATATTGAAGTAGATATCATAAAACAGAAGCTTTCAAATAAGCTGTGCTTTTATTACACGTTTAAAACTCTTTCAATGCTTCTTACGGTTTTCTTCTGTTCTTCCTTTTTATTTTAAAAATTTATTATTTTTATTGGTTTTGGGGACCCTCTGGGCAGTGCCCAGGATGTACTCTTGGCTCTGCTCCCAGACATCACTCCCAGGAGGCTTGGGGAGATACTGGGGTGCATGACCTGGGTCAACTAAACACCCCACCCCACCCCACCCCACTGTCCCATTACTCTGGTCCATCTCTTATCTGAAAAATCAAAACTTAAAGAATCACAACATACACAGGTGAATGTGGAAGGTGGTCCCTCCTTTTTAGAATGCGAGTTAATACCTGAGTCATACAAAGTCACATCATGTTTTTCTTTCTGACATTTATGTTTAGGAAATGGCTGGTTCCTTGAGGATGTCGTGATTATGGATCCCACAACAAACCATGAATATGCTTTCTTCTGTCACAGGTTTGTTGGCTTTTCCACCACACAAATTCATGTTATAATTCTTTTTTTTTTTTTATTAGTGAAACACCATGAGGTACAGTTGTAGATTTACAAATTTTTGTGCTTGGGTTTCGGTTCATGTTATAATTCTTAATCAGCTCCAGATTCATGTATTTCAACAACAGTGTAGCTAACTGAAATATTCCTATTATTTTATGTTTTGTTGATAAGTTTTGTAAACATTACCTTTAGGGGATGCTCCTATTCTGAAGAAACATACTATGTTTATCAGCACACCTAGTGACATAATTTAAGATTTTTAAAAAACGTGTATTAGAGTATTTCATCTTGTTGGTTTATTTATTTATTTTTTTGCTTAATTTTGCCAGAACCAGCTTACTCCTAGCTCTGTGCCCAGGAATCACACCTGGCATTGCTTGGGCCACCATATGTGGCATCCTGGATTAAACTCGGGTTGTCCTCATGCCAGGCAAATGCCCTCCTTATTGTATTTCCAGCCTCTTCTCATGGGTGTTTAAAATCTTACCCTTTCCCCATTTTTATTCAGGTTTCCCATGCCTTTCCCCAATTCCAGTTATCTATTACTTACTATTTGAGTAGAAAATTGCTAATTGTTTACACTAACCCAGAACATAGTCTATGCAGTTTTTCTTCCACAGATGGTTGGATCAAGGGGAAGATGATGGTAAAATTGCCAGAGAACTGTATGCCAGGGACAATGGTATTATCTACGCAAGTGAGTGTCACCTACGGAGTACTTGGAAGTCCTGTTCTATAATGATTAGGGAAAACATGGTATGAGTGAAATTAATGTTTCCTTCTTTCCTCTATTTCCTCAGAACAGAAGTTAGAAGTGAACAGAAAAGAAACAGTAAGTTTTTACTTCTGTTCTACCGTTGTTTCCTGCAGGGTAATATATCACATAGCTAGTTGAAGTATTGAAACAAATGGTGAAGTTTGGTAAGGGAAGGTGACTTTTAAGTGACATTTCTGTCTCCTCTCAGAGGTTCTTGTTTGCTTTTCTGTTTAGTGGGCTGCAGAAGGCTGGAAGTTTGCAAAGGGAAACACACTTCAGTTCTACAACAGACTCACTGAGGGCTTTGTCCGTCTACACCCAGATGGCACAGTTGATGCAGTTGGAGAGAAGGCAGACAAATATGGTAAAGTTTTTTGGGCCAAGTACATGGTGCTGTGGCAGGTTTGGGAGCTGGAAGAAGACGTGTTTACAGATCCAGTGTAGTTTTCTGGCGTTTTTGTTGTTGTGGTGCTGGGAATCAAATCAAGGGCCTCATATATGCAAGGCAATGAGTTCTCCCTTATGCTAATGGTAGGATAAGATTCGCCCTTATACCAGTGGTAGGATAAGATTCTTCCTTATACCAATCTAAAATATTGCTACCATGACACAACGTGCTTTAAGTATAAGAAAGCTATCATTTTCAGAAACGTACCCCAAGGAAAAATTTATATTTAGTATCATGTAATTGAAGACTGTAGTACTGTAGTCCCATTGTTCATGAATTTGCTTGAGTGGGCACCAGTAACGTCTCCATTGTGAGACTTGTTACTCTTTTTGGCATATCGAATATGCCATGGAGAGCTTGCCAGGCTCTGCCGTGTAGGTGGGATATTCTCAGTAGCATGCTGGGCTCTCTGAGAAAGACGGAGGAATAGACTCCAGGTCGGCCACGTGCGAGGCAAACGCCCTACCCGCTGTGCTATCACTCCAGACTAAAATGAAGAAAATTATGATTGCTTATAAAAAGCAGGAGTTATTGCTTTCAATATAGCCATTTAAGAAATTAAGTTTTTCCTACTATCTACTGCCTATTCTGTTTTCAACCCTGTTCAATAATTTGAGGACTTAAAAACAGCTAAGTGCTCACTGATTATATTAGATTTTATTTCCAAATATGGTCATAAAAATATTCTCCCATTGTTAAATCAGATATTGTGTAATATCTAATGTTTACCCTACTTACACAAAACCAGACAGCACTAAGTTGAAGACCAAGACTTTATCTTCGTTGGCTCCCCAAGGCTCAATAGTACAATATCATAAAGTGAAGACCCAGTGATCAGTGATACCAATGTATAAAATAGGTGTGCTAAATGAAGAGGATGGGGGTGGAGAGAGAGAGGAGAGAGAGAAAGAGAGAGCGAGTGAGAGAGCTTAGTATCATGGAATTGGAATGCTTTTTAGACACAAGTATTCTTTAAACACACTTGTTTCTAATGGGAACTTGCCACTCCTATATCAACAAATGAGGTCGAATTCCCTACTTCACAACACCAGCATTTTCTACATGTTTTGACTTCTAGAAAGCAGATGATACTACATTACAACTTCCAAGATTTGCTGTTTTACCTTTGCTTATAGTAATCCTTGGGAGCTAGAAGTCCATGCAGGAGGAAGTCCAGAGGGGCACCAAGTAGAAAGCTCTCGTCGACCAGATTAACTGAAGAGTTTGGAGAAAATTTTAACCTCAAGTTTTTTTTAGCACCTTAATATCCTGGTCCTATAATATATGAAGCAGAATGAGCAAATTTTAAAAAGATGTAAGATAGAATGAGTAATTCTCCTTACCATAATTGACATTTTTTCAACAGGAGGTCTTTTATGTGTGATAATTATTTGCAGCATTATTTCCAATGTTATGCTCAGTGGCCCATAAATTCACACTCATGAATCAGTTTTCACATGCTTCGAAAGTGTTGTGATGAATAAATCTGACCCGTAGACTCCTTTTCAGGAAAATATTTCCAGAACATCTTTCTGAGCTATATTGGTTTTTAATTTTCACTCTGCAGAACAGTGCTATTTTTTTATTACCCTGTGCCAATCCTTCTAATTAGCTACCAAGCTGATGATAAATTTAGCTACTTCCATACTCAGAGAATTAGGAACCCTCATTTCTCTGAGAACTACTGAACCATTTCTTGAATACTGGACTTAATAGCTGACTTGCAGCATGAGAAGATCTGAGAGACTTGGGGGAACGTCATTTAATGATCAGAAGCCCTCAGCTATTAAAAATAATACCGTTCCAGCATTTACAATGACTCGCACAAACAAGTCCTCTTGTTCTAGGGAGGGAATCTAGCGAAAGCTAGTCAGTTGTAAACACCAACCTTCTAGTGACTATTTCACTGCAGGGTAAGTGTCACAAAATTTCCATTCCCCAAATTTTACACGGCTGTCTTATTTTATATTAGTATTATTAAGGTAAAGGTAAAGGTAAAGGCCCTCCCGTTGATCGTCGATTTGCTCGAGCGGGCCCAGTAACGTCTCCATTGGAGACTTTGTTGTTACTGTGTCTGGCATATCCAATACTCTCGGTAGCTTGCCGGGCTCTCCGAGAGGGGCGGAGGAATCGAACTTGGGTCGGCCATGTTGGCCGCGTGTAAGGCGAACGCCCTACCCGCTGTGCTATCGCTCCAGCCCTTAGTATTATTAAAGGGGAGAAAATTCATAACCTCAATTCCTGCTTACTTGGCTTATATTATCAGATGTGAATGTTTGTATTGAGTCACCTGACTGTCGCATAGTATCTGTATCAGAGGCAGGGCTGAGAGCGTCTGAAGGATCAACACACAGAATGCAGAGAAACTGGATGGAGAGTCACACAGGGGCCTGGCTGAGAAAACTCTCAGGAACAAAGAAGTCATCACTTCAACTCTGTGGAAGGCAGCCTGTTAAAGATGCTTTGCCATTCAGTTAAAGATTCTTCTCCTGGGTGGGAAAAGGGGAGAAACAGAGTGTGCTCTGAGAAAAGGGATGGTAGGTCTGGGACCTGAGAGAGAGAATTCCCACCCAGTGTGGAAGCCTCTCCGGTGCAGATGACTGACAGGGCGTGAGTTAGACCAGGACTTGCTAACTTGACAGACTTGGTCTTCGTTGCACAACACGGACACACTCTGGCTTCCGGGGAGCATCGTTCCCAAGGTGAACACACCCAGGAGGATGGTTGTCTCCACCCAGCACCACCCGTGAGCTGCCGCAGCCCCGTCCCACTTGTCACCCAGAATCCAGCTGAGCAGTTTGACTTCTCACAGAATTCACTTGTGCATTGGATCCCATGAATTGTAGACTCTTAGGGCTTAAGTTCAACCAACACGGGCCCAAGCACATCTGGCCCAGGCCTGGAGTAATCGTGTAGGTGAGCACTGCCCAGTTTCAGTTCCACCCAGTAGTGGGGTGGAGGAGGTGTCTCAGACACAGCACTACCCCTAAGGCTCACCGTCTGTCTCTCCCCTGTTCCCCCAAGCTCATGGGCTCCACTCTGCCCAAGTAGACCCACTTGTCAGATAATCCGCAGGGTTTTACTAGCAGCCAGATCAGAACAGAAGTCAGTCGTCCCGAAGTGGGTGTACCACATTTACGCTCCAACCTAAGTTAAAGAAAACACAGTTCAATGGGTCTGAATAGTCTTAGTTTGGTGCCTTTCCCCACCAAGCCGAAGCGACTGACAGTGGATGATGCAGAGAGGGCCCAGCTGACCCAGGGCCACAGCTGGGAGAAAGCAATGGTAAAGGTAAGGTAAATCTGCCATTCTGGATGCACAGCTAGTAGTCAAGGGCCCAGAGGAGAGTCCTGTCCATCAGGGTGTGGCTCTGAGCAGACTTTCTGAAACTGGTTTTGTGAGGGTGAGACTGATGCCATGACAATCTGCAGCCAACATTAAGTCTTAACTAGGCCTCAGTTTCTGTTTCCCCAAAGCAGGACTTGCGATTTCTGGTAACTCTCAGTTGATTAATGTGCCTGGATAAGGAATCGGGCAGTTGGGTCTGGTCGGTCATGAGGGGTCAACTGTCCCCTCCTTAGAAATTGTTACTAACCATTGCCTAATTGCTGACCACTGTTGGAATAGGGCCAATGCTAAAAATAGACCAGGATATAAACTACTTCTTAACTCTGAACCCTACATAAAACTGCTTGTGATTTGGAGTCGAGGTCCTTGTCAAGACTCCACTGTGTTGGATGAGACTTGGACCCTAGCTTGAGCTAGTAATGGCTCATGCTAGTAATATAGTTCCTTTGCTTTTGCATTATCGTGTGTGGACTTGGGCTCTCCGCAATTGGGGATTTGAAACTTGGGAACAACAGTTTCAAATTATACTACAAAGCGACAGTGGTCAAAATTGTGTGGAAGTGGAATAAAGCTAGACTCTTGGACCGATTGAACAGAATGGAGAGCCCAGAGATAAAGCGTCAGGTTTACAGACTGCTAATCTATGACAAAGGAATTTGGCGCAGCAAGAAAAGCCTCTTCAACACATGGCACTGAACCAACAAATGTATAGGCACATACAAATAAGTAAATAAAACTGGACCTGTATTTGCACCATCCACAAAAGTTAACACAATGTGTACTGGAGACCTCAAGATTAGACCAGGATTCGTTCAATACATTGAAGAAAACATAGGTAAAAATTCCCAGTATATAGACCGTAGAGGTGTCTTCAGTAATTTGACTCCACTGGTAAAGATAAAAGAATACAAAAAGTAAACAACTATGATTGTATTAAGTTTACACATTTTTGCATGGCCAAAGAAACTCTAACCTCATTAGAATAGAAAGAGTCTTCTGAATAGGAGAAAATATTTGCATACAATGCTTCAGATCTGGGTGGATCTGGGTGGATCCACCACCCAGATCCTCCACTCAGATCCTCCAAATTCCAGTAGGCTGGGGTCACACTCACCAACTGGCCCCGTGGCGCAGTGTAATCCCATCGACGGCCAAGACCCAGAGACTATAAAACCCAGACTATAAAAACCAGCTCCCAGAACTGTTGTGCCCAGACATCTTATTATGACATCTTATTATCTCATTCGTACTTTGGACAAACTGGCAGGCTACCGAATGTAACCTGCTCACATGGCAGATTCTGGCAAACTCCCCATGGCATACCCAATATGCCAAATACCAGTAATAATGATGGGTCTCATTCTCCTAACTCTGAAAGAGCCTTGAATATGGCACTTTTAAAAAAATCTCAGGGCTAGGACGAAGGAGACGTTACTGGCACATGCTTGAGGCAATCGATGAACAACAGGGTGGTTGAGATCGTGATCGTGATGCTTCAGATAAACGGCTAATATGCAAAATGTGTAAAGTACTCAACTAGCTCAACAACCCAACAATAATCCCATCAA